GTGGATAACGCAGCTGGTGGAGATATTGGGGCTAGAACGGCAGAAGAGATGATGGACATCTTTGAGACGATGAGTTCCAAATCGTCTCAAAAGAGTAGTCGAGGGAAGAAGACGTTGGTAAACGAGGCATCCCCTAGGCAGGACATGATGGCTCATCAGATAGCCGAGCTCACGGAGCAGATGCGGCTAATGAATGCTCGGAAAATGCAGCCAGTCCAGACCATGGCAGTGGATACATGCGGGGCGTGTGGAGCTCAAGGACACCGATCAGAGGTGTGCCCGTCGGCATTCGACCAGGAGGTGGCAGAACAGTATGCAGATGTCAATGCCCTCCAAGGTTATCAGAACAGGCAGCCCAATGACCCCTACTCCAACACATACAATCACGGGTGGAGAAACCACCCAAGCTTCTCCTGGTCGAACAACAACTATCAGCAGCCACCTCAGTCTAACTTTGTACCTCATCAGCAGCAACAACCAAGGGGAATGTTAAGGCTGCCAGCCCCCGAAACCGGACCAACCCCATCAGGCATGGACGACAAGCTAGACAAGATTCTAAACTTTATCACTAATCAGGACGCGTCCATTAAGCGTCTCGAGACGCAAGTGGGCCAGCTGGCCACACGAGTGGGGAACATTGAGACTGAAATGGATAAAGGGAAGTTGCCGAGCCAGCCGGAGCACGCAAAGTCGGTCACAGTGATCTTGCCCGAGCTACAGAGCCCAAAGGAAGAGGAAAAGGAAGCAGAGACCCCAGTTATACCGTCACCTGAGCCTTCTTTACACAGGGCCCCGACCCCATACAGACCGAGGATTCCATTCCCGAGTCGTCTTTTGGAGGAGAAGGACCGTAAGTTGATGCGAGACCTTCATGCCATGTTGGCTAAGGCCAACGTTGATTTATCTCCTCCCGACGTGATGAAGAAAATCCCAGCCTACGCAAGATTTTGCAAGGAAGTAGAAATGAGTAAGAGGCGGGTAGAGAGTGACGATGGGGTGATTATATGCGAGGTAGCCAGTC